TTGCAAATCCCCTTGCTCTTGTGTACGTGACCAAGTGGGAAGGGACTGTTGGGGTAACAGGGACTAGCATGTAGTCCCTCTCTGGTGAATGAAATGCCAGCACCTCGAGAAAACCAAGGCTACAGTCATGTAGGTGTACTGCAGAGCTCCTGGCTATTCAGCTGTAGTGGAGCAAGGACATATTCCCTCCAGCTGATGATTTCAAGGTGGACCTGGAAACAGCAAGAGTATCTGTCTAAACTGTCTGGCTCCAAGAGGGTTGGACTCTGCAACACAGTATATAATCGGTTGGCCATTGAGGTGTGCGCCATCGGCTCCCCACCCCAAGACAAACAGTGCTTACTCTTTGGTTGCAGCTGGAATACCAGGGTGCTGGCACAGTGCAGCTTCGCTTCCTGAAGCTGCACAGCAGCGTTGCCATGCAGAAGGTGTCATACTCCTGCAGGCCCGAGGGCGACAAAGACGAGCCCCAGCCGGAGAAGGAAATTAAATTCCTGGCAGATTCGCGGGACCAGAGCTACCTGGCCACCCTGCAGGGCTGCGTGGTAAGTGGAGCGTGAGGGCAAAGTTGGCCGTGCTAAGGGAAGTTTGTGAGGTAGCAGGGCTGAGAGGAGCGTGTCTGCATGTCCCCTGAATTGTGGGTCAGGCTCCTTTGGATTGCAGGCATTTTTTGTTCTCCTTGGTGGCTGAACCAAGCAAAGGCTGAAAGGGCAAAGGCAGAATAGCTGACACTCCCAGGCTGGTTCTCAGGATGAAAGCAGCCACAATGGATCTTTTGGGAAGAGTACAGGGGGCTTCCCAGATGTAGGTTGCCAAGGATAAGGCACAGCAGGGCAGTGGGGCTCGGTTCCAAAAGCCTTGGGGACAGAGGCCAGACACCAAGGTGACTGGTGCCAGACGGATGGAGAGGCAGTTGTGTGCAGCAGTGGGAGGTCTTGGTTTTGCCAAGAACCAATTCTGTTGGAAGTGGCTGTGTGAAACGCAGCTGCACTGAGTCCTGGCCTCCCTCTTGTGAGGAAATTGTGCAGACTCCTCCTGGGTCATGCCCACTGTGCCCGGTTCATCCTTAACTAACTCAGAGAATCATCCTTATGTCCAGTGGAAAGAGGCGATGGCCAAGTTGTGGTGGTGAAACCTTTTTACCCCAGGGCAGCCAAGTGCCAGGGCGGCCAAGCAGGTCTGAGGAATCACTCTGGAAGAGCTGGGGATCGATCTGTGCCAGTGCTCGTCAGTGATAGCACTGTCTTGTGCTCAGGAGCATTTTACCCAGCACTATGTACCACATATGAGCTTAATAGCAAGTGATAATGCAACCTGGTTTTCAGTGTGGCTACTAGCCATGTAGCTTGTGGCCCAGAGCACGGCTACATGGCACGTGTGTCTGCACATTGCAGCTGGACAATGAGTCATCGGTCACGGACACGATATTCCAGTTTTCCACGGAGCAGCTGGACCTCCTGCCTCTGCGCGACCTGGCCGTGTTTCACAACGGAGATGCCTCCCACCAATTTGGATTCACAGTGGGACCGGTGTGCTTTGCCTGACAATGGCAGCTGTTGCCAACCTGCTGCTTTTCCAGGAAACCAAAGTGCTGAGGGGAGAGCGTTTATTGTCAAAACCTCTGGCCTCTGCCTGTGGAGCACCGTACAGCTTGTGATAGCTGTCAGATCTATTTATGACATGTTTAGAGCTGCCTTATGCCATGGACTACACCTCCTCCTGAAGGAGAGTAATGTTTACAAAAGCAAGTCTCTATAAATTATATATATATATATATATGTGCGTATGTATATGAAAAGGTGCTAATTTAACAAGTGATGGAAGAATTGTCATGTAATTACATCCAGCAGGGTCTGTTTAAAACAAGCCAAGCCTCTGGATATGATTCTGCGTCTGGTCTAAGCAGACAAGAGCTTGCAAGCTGTTGCTGCCAGAGCATAAGTAGATACCCAGGACCAGACTCTGTCAGCACAGGCGAGCAGCATGGCTGGTGGGGACTGTGTGTGAGCTGTGTCCAACAAGAGCGTCTGCAGGGTACCAGGATGCTGGCCTCGGGGAAGTAGTGGCATGTGAAGACCATCAAGTGTCTGGGAAGATGGTCCAGGCTGCAGGGGGGCTGTGTCCATTTCACCTTGGAAGTCACTGGCATGGTGCAAAACACTTGATGTCTATTATCCAGCAGTCTGCCTGACTTGTGAGTAGGGCTGAAATGCTCTGTGTGCACTGCAAAATGGTCCATGTGCACAGCTCCTGCCTAGAAGTGCCTAAGTAAGGAAAGGCCTGCCTCATTGATAGTATAGCAGAGCCAAAAAGAGGTGTAACCCCCCCACTGTAGCCACCAGATTGACAGCCTCAGGAGTGGTATATGGATGGGCCAAAGGACCAGTCACAGTGGGTGGCAGATCCACATTAACAGTGGTTGTTGGTTTTGTGCCATTGTTGGAAGTCTTCAAGGCTGCAGGTATTTCAGTGGAAAGTGCTCTTAAGTGGGTGATGGGTTGAGGGAAAGGCAGTAGTTGTGCTGGTGAGACAAGGAGAGGGAGGGTCCTGGCCAGGTAAGTCTTCTATTGATGGGAGAAGTTAGGGGGAGAAGGAGGCCTTGTTGTTTTGCAGTTCAGGTGACGAGGCAAGGAGGATGCAGGAGAGGTGGCTGTAAGCAAGGATGTTTCTATCTGGGACTTCTTGTCATGCTGCCTTGCCACAGCTTCAGGGCAAGGTTTCCCATTGGTGTGAGTGACTCCTGTCCAGAGGAAGGTGGCAACATTGTGAACTGGCAAGAGCTAGTGCCTGTCTGGTGTCCCATCCTTCTGAGAGCATGGCGGTGGAGTAGCTACGCTATCTTGCCAGGGGGCCAAGTTGTGTTCCTCGCTCTGAGGGCCTCACCCCTGGCTACAGCTATCAATAGGTATAGAAGGAGCAATGTGGCATGGCATGCAAAGGCCATGGCCAGGATCAAATGATATAGGTGTTGTGCGTTGCCTACTGACACACACTCTAACTTCCGTGCATCATTCCAGAAGGGTGGAGGAGAGTGACATGAAGTATTTGGCTCAATGCTGAGATGTAGAAGGGTGCTAGGGGGGTGCAGAAACCCCAAGTAATGTATGTAGGGATGAGGCTACAGTGGGGATGCATGCTGACATGCACCCAGACCCCCAGATTCCTTGGGGTGGTGCCGCCTTTCCAGCAGGTCACCTCTTGGGGATGAGTGCACATGGCTGCACCACCATAGGGGAGCTGCTGCACCATAAGGGAACAGCATTGAGATGTGTCAGCCAGCTTGCTGTCCAGGCAGTGTGTTTAAAAGGCTATTGCTATACATCCTGCAGTGTTTGTGAGCCTTCCTACTTGTGCCGTGTGATTAGATGGCCCGGTATTCTGGTGTGCAGAGCAGGGGTAAAGAAGTAGGGGAATAAGATGGGCCTGGGACAGACTGCATGGGAACCCTGGTAGAAGGTGCTTATGGGCAGGCCCATAAGACAGATGCATGAACAAGGACCCCAGAGCACTGCATGGAAATCAAGAAAGATGTGGCAGTGGGGGAAGCCCTAGCCCTATTGTCAGGGCACAGGGCAATGAGCCAGTCACCTTTAAATGTGTATACAGTAAGATGACAAGGGTGGGGAGTAAGCAGGAAGAGGCGGAAGTTGTAGCACACCCAAGAAATGAGGATGTGCTTGAGTAAAGACCTAGTGGGATAAGGCAGAGGACTAAATACTGCCTGTCACAAGCACGCGTGGTTTTGGAAGGTGTGCCCTGAAAGATATGAGGTACAGCTGTTCTGAGGAGTAGTACAAAGTAGGCAGTGGGACCACCTAGGGGATGGGGCTGGAGAAAGGAAGGACAATAGCTGAGCATGGATCCTGGCCCTGAAAGAAGCAGACTGCCACAAACTCAGGGATGTGGCTATCAGGATTCCCTGGGAGGCATATTTGAGGAGAAAACAACTGCAGGAGAGTGGGGGGTGTAGCAAAGGCTTGGGGTGTAAGGATGGGCAGGAGCAAGCTGTCCTGATGCAGAGAGGGAATGCAGTGCCTGGGCTGAACAGTGCCTTGCAAGGCAAACACAAACGTGAACGTGAACTGTGTGACTGGGAAGCGCATAGGAACTAGTCTCGCTGGGGTAGGCTGGGGGAACAGCAGGGAGGGTAAGGCTTGCTCAGGGATTGGAAAGGCCACAAAGGAGGGGGGAGAGAGAAGGAAGATGAAGGATGGTGCTGGGATTTTAACAGAAAGGTAGCAGAGGCGCGTATTAGCTTTTCTGCAATCGTGCACACAGGCAGGTCCCAGATGAGGAGCGCTAGAAGCAGTAGGCGTAAGGGAGGACAAGGCAAAAGACTTCGAGGTGCCAAGTAGTGTGGGGATGGGACAGTGGTCAGCACAGAGCTGGCCACACTGTGGCATAATGGGAAAGGGCTTGGAGGTAATAGTAAGGTGAGTAACTGGACTGCAAGGGTAGGGGCCTCTTGTGTCCACATCCTCAGAGAAGCCTAGTGAAGTGAGAGCAAATGAAGGTGGTTTAGCTTGGAGCAGCAGAGACATACAGATTTGACTTGTGCAGCAGGAGTGGGCAAGGAGGGGATGGAAAACAGGCCACCCCATTCGCAATGCCAGGAATATGGGTCATGCCATGCTGCTCCTCCACAGCCAGACACCCAGGACCTACTCCACTTGGGTGAGTGGAATCCCCATGCTGGGATTGCCTCTCACTCCCAGGCCTGTGCTTGGAAACACCTCCTGGGCTCCAGGTCTCTTTCCCCCTCAAACTCCCACCCCCACAAGCCACACTGAGCTGTACAGGCTCCTTGCCTCCATGGGGCCCCCACCTGGCCCTGGAGCTTCCTGACCTCTGCAGCCCGTCAGGCTGCCCAGAGCACTGGCCAGGCTCAACCCACCCTCCAGGTTCCCTTACCTCACCTCTCTGCCCTCCTGCATGGGGCTGCAGGGGGAAGGCTGTTGCAGACTGCTCTCAGGGGGGCCAGCACAAGCACCACGGCCTCCCCATGCTTGCAGGCCCTCTGCTGCTCACCCACCACCAAGCCACCCTTCCTCCAGGCTGCCAGACACCTGCTACAAGCCCCAGGCACAGGATGGCTCAGAAAAGCTGCCCAGCTGTGGCCAGCACTCCCCCTGCCACCTCCATTCCCCAGACAGACCCTGCCCAGGCCCTAGGATTGGACAACATGTACCTGCTCACTGCCCCCTCCCACCAAGACAGACACTTAGCTACAGGCATTACCAAACCTTACCAGGATCCTGCTGGTGACTGAGCCTCCGTACAGAAACTGCTGTGGATCTCCAAGGACAGGTGGCAGTGATGTCCCCCTCCCAGCACCACCACCGCCACCCCCCCCCAAGCTCAGTGCTGCCCAGCTTCCCGCCTCAAACTGGGAAGAGGCCCAGCCCACCCTATGCAGATGTAGGGGCACAGCCCCCCCCCCATGCCCTCCTGGGGTACATGCAGCAGTGGGAGCTGCTCCCCCTCCCTGCACCTCCCAGATGAGCTGTGGCTGTCCCATGCCCTGCCCCAGCTGGGCAGCCTCAGCTCAAGCTCCACTTCCTACCCCCCTCCCCGCCCCCATCCACCACAACAGACTTACCAGATGCAAGTAGCTCTGCAAACTGCTGGGCTGTGCTCCTCGCTGCCTGCATATTGCACTGTGGCTGTGCGCATGCACTAGCATTTATCGGCCAAATTATCGGCTGCATCAGGCTGATTTCCAATGTGGTCAATTTTCTTTATATCAGTGCCAATCCAATATCAGACTGATGCATTGGTGCACCTCTACTGTAGCTGGGCCCAAGCCTCATCAGAACAGGAGGCTGACACCTTGGGGCAGTTGTAGGTAACACTTTAAAGCAGGTTTAAAGCAAGTTAAATGCCTTTTTCACTGCTTTAATGGCATCGCTGTTTGCACATTCGGCGGCGTATTGCGCCTTAAATGACTTCGGGGAGCTGCACTCTAAAACACCTCCCAAGAGTTTTAGTTTCCTACCCTACAGCTGCCAAGGGAAGCACTGGGCTCCATGCTGCACAGGCAGCCCATGCAGGCAGCCTGGGAAAGCAGGCTCCGCAGAAGGAAAAAAAAGCAAGCCTGATCTTTTTCCCCCTCTCCACCCCTGGAGCCTGCCTCCCTGGCTGAGCTGCACAAGGGCCTGGTGCTTCCCTCTGTGGCTGTGGTGCCCCCAGGACTGCCCGAGCTGGGTGCCTGCAGGCAGGTGCCACCTGGGGGTTGGAGGGCTGCTGCTGCTGCGCAGGGAAGCACCAGCCCCACCCTTCAGCTCAGGGATCACTCTACCCAACAGGTCGTTCTCCCCTCCCCACCACTGGCACGGCAGGTAAGGATTGGGCGGACACGGGTGTACACAACACAGGGGTTAACTTTGTCCTAAACTGAAGTGGTGTTTTTAAAAATCCACCACTTCAATTTAGATAATTAAACCCCTGTGTCGTGTACAAATGCCCTATTTAGTTACCTACTTAGGAAGGTAGCCCTTTTGCACATATCACCTGCCCACTTCCTGACACCCTGAACACAGTAGCACTTCCACCTCTATCTCCTGTCACAGTCAACAGCTCACTGTGCCAAACAGCGCTTGCTTCAACAGCTCGGCAGGAGCCAGCAGCCACCCATCACCCCCCAGCGACATTTGGAATTGCCTACAGACCATCCTCCCTGAGAGCATACTTACAGGTCAGAGAGCCTAAATGCTGCTGGTGCCCCCTATCGAGTCAGGCCCCTTGTGGCACAATCAAGGGCCTCCCACATTGCCACAGGTAGTCAACAAGCCTTGCAGGCACCCACAGGGAAGTGCCCACCAAACCAACCCAGAGGGAGCTCCGCATTGAGGATGGCCGCCCACACC